GGGTGGCCCCATGTCTTTCCAATAGTACTATATTGCCTGGTAGATGATTCATGATGATCATGATGATTCAATGGTCCGAACCTTCCTTTCATGTTCTCTCTCTGTCTCTAAGACTGCTTGATCAAGTCCTTGTTTAGTCCAAAGCTGCTGAGAGTGCTGCTGAGCTATTTGTTGAGGAGGGATATGGAGGGATGAAGTTGATTAGATACTGTACTTGAATGGGCACCCCCATGTTCCTGCAATATGTCTTGTTGCGTCGGCGACTATATATGTTGAAAGGGGAGGTTTGCGAACTCTCAACAGTGAGTTAGGTACGAATGTCCATGTCAGCGGGAACCCAAGGAACAGATTCTGGCTGCGCTGAAGAACTTGGTTGCCTACAGTGGCTTTGCTGAAGGGGAGAAAATTCCATGGAGGAGGGAGCAAACTTTCATGGTGGTATAGCGCCACGACTTGTCATGCCGATGAAACAGTATTTTTGCAGGTGAGTGCCCTATAGCCATGCGAGCAAGATGTACAGTAGATTAATTGACGATCATTCCCTTTGGGGGAGGCCCGGAGAACCATGTCATCATGCTGACCAGGACCTCAACATGTTGCCATTCGCGACACGTTATTGACGGCACAGAGCAAGTTGAGATATATATGCTATCATGCTCAGGGTCCTGGCATACAACAGGGAAGGGGTACCCAAAAGGAACTTCAGCAGAACAGGCTATCAGTATTCTTGGTTCCCAGCAGTTCCTGGTATCGAATGTTCACCTCAGCTGAGGCAAGCTAGCCGCGGCGCTGGCGGAAGAGATCTATCGGAGTGAGGAGTGGGACAATCTGCGCATGGTGGTGGAGTTGTACCCGAAGAGCATCATGGTGCAGTCCCTCGGGTTGAATCACATAGAGAGAGCCAGATTCAGAGTTGGGAGGAACATCATGCTCTGCGCAGGGTCTCGGTCCAACTTCTCAAGGGAGGCCTGCAAACAAAGCTTTAGCCTTTGGGTAGCCTCAAAGGCCAAGGACGATAGACCTTGGTAAAGTTACAGACCTGGCATTTCATCCATAGCCCTATGGTTTGCTGTGGTGATCAACACGCGGGAGCCCAGTTTCCGTCGATACCAACCAGCGATGTGCCGCCGCCCAACGATGTTTGTTGTACTGTGCACGTAGCCTGACTATGCAGTAACCATACCTACACTCGCAGCAACAAAGCTCATACAGTTATATTATCCTATATTACACACGTGCATGCTGCTTATCACATTGCATGAAGGGATGCAATGACAATGACCCGCGTGTTTTTGAAAATGCACCTTTCAGGTTTTCCGTCATACCATCCGGAGACATTAGCCCACGGTCCACCAAACAATTCCAGCAAGTTGGCCAATAGTTGTTATTCTTGGAAAGGACTGAAAAGATGAAAATGGAACTCTTTTGTTTCTTGCTATATATATATATATCTATTTGCATGGCAGAGCTGTTGTTTATTGGTGGTGGTGGTGCCGGCGACGGTGCGGGTCAAAACCAAGAAAGGAGAGAAGGACAGTGAGACCAGGATGTCCCCAAATCTGGGAGAAACTTGACACCTATAGCCGATACTAGTAGCCTAAAACCTATAAAACACGAGTCCATGTTCAAAGCGTTATGAACGGGTTTGCAATATTTCAGCACATATTGTCTGTGTACCATACCATTCCCCATGGATCAATCGGCGTTCATACACCCGATTCTGCAGGTCCGAGGTCTGTGAGGGATGGAAGACCGAACTCCGAGGATGGAGCACTTGAAATGGCGGCCCAAAATGATACCCAAAAAAAAAGAATTTGGAGGGTTGTCGGGGGTTCTCCGCTGTTCCATCTAGGTACTCCGAACCTATGGCATGAAGGAAATAAATATTTGCCTATAGTTCACCCGGTCAGTACTTCAAGCCTGTTATATAGGTAGATTTCATGACTCAGCTGCTTGCCTACCACTCAACGATTTGTTTTGGGACTCAGCTTGTCAATCGTTTTCTCGCTGAGGTATCAGGGCTTCGAGCTCATCGGTAAGCTGGTCACTGAAAAACGAGAGCTCCGGGCGGCCTTCCGAGCCATTGCAGAGCCAAAGATGTGAAATGGCGTGTGTCCGAAAGGTATGGCCACAGATGTAACATATTGTAGACTGTCAAGGTGGAAGCAGACACCTGGCTTGGCTTGCTTGCTAAAACCATAAGATTCGTTGGGTCATTGAACGGTTCACATGTGGCAAGGTTGGAGAACTTGCCAAGCATTCGGAATCTCGGAATCACACTCCCACAAATCCCACAACCAATAATTAGTACTTACATACATAGTCTTCCTCAAATCCTTTCCTTCCCTTCTTCCTGGTCAAAACTTTGCCCTTGCCATAGCCCCGTGTTCATTTTGGCCTTAGTGGTTGGCATCGTGGCAATCTCGGGGTGCCCACGGTTGCTCCGTTTCTGCGGGCATTTTTCATAACTTTATCATATTGCCTACACGTCTACCGTATATGCTATACTATCTATATACTTGAGAAAGTGGGACATCCCAGCTAAGTCCAGCTATATAAGTCTTCCATTGCATCGAAAGTGTGAATCAGGGGCCCGACTGCAAGGCCGCGGAACTCACCGAACCTCCAATGATTGTCCACCGAGGACCATGTCCTGCTCACCAACCTCAACCACCGGAACACGCCTGTGGCAGACGTGGCCGAGCTGTTGTTGGAAGCCTTGAACTGATCCGCACGCGCGGCCGGAATTCCATAGTTTGCCAACCATACTCAGAGGTTCAAGCAAGCGCAGCTGAATCATGAAACAGGTGCTTTGCTACAGCAACGGCCCTTGTTTTCACAGTGAATGACTTGAGTATCTTTGAGTGCGGTTTGGCTGGGTGGAGGTAGAAAGGTCACACAGCTTGGCTGGTGGCCTCGTAGGAAGTCTTGTACAGCGTTGCATGGTGAGTCGACCCTTCTCCAAGAGAAGGTGAGGCTCACTGCCCAATTCGATGCCAATCGTGCAAGTTATCATAGCGATCGCAGGAGTCAAACCAAGGTAGGTGATTTCGTGGGCGGCCAATTGTTATTTCGTTAATCTCTTTCCATTCCTATTCGGGTTTACGGTGGTGCCAACCAATGGACATGCTTTTATTTCACGGTTCGGGCCCAGTGCCGGCCTGGCCGGGGAGGAGTGCCAGCTTCAAACAGAGTGTGGTTTTTCACCGCCTCGTTCACGGCGGACTGCCACGGTCAACCAGCTTCCGTTTTGACCTCGTTCTGTGGCGATGCGATGCCGCTGGGCTCAGCTGGGAGAATTAGTTTGATGGAAAGATCATGGGTGGTTTACCGGAGGAGGAGCTTCTAAGGCAGGGGTCTCAGTCGTGAGTTGCCCGAAGAGAATGATGGAAAGCTTGAAGAGCTCGAAGAGCGGCAAAAAACGTTCACCCAAACGGTACAGACCGCAGAGGCGTGTGACATACAATTCTTTTCGCTGTCCTCCCCATGCTATACTGGCCCCCCCCAATGGTTTGAGATGGTTTGAGTGTGGGCTGCTGGCAAGTGCTGAGGCTAGGGCGTGCTCGAGCCTCAATTGACCTGACATCCCGAAGAGTTCAGAGCAGTGGCCTTTGTGATGTTTGTGAGGTTAGCATTGGATTGATTGGAGCATTTGTTTGGTGTTACATCTACATTTGTTGGTTGCATAATGTTGCATAGTTGTATGCATCATAGCTCTGCAACTCATTGATGCTGCCTCCATTTTCAGTACCCTTTGCTAGCCGGCCATCCATGGACTTTTGGTTCGCCAAGCTCCCACTCTTGCAGGGTCAATGTTTGTCACGTTAGATCTTTGAGGCACGCACCCTCTCTTGATGGACGTAGCGTCAAGAGTGTTCAACCCCTGCTGCCAACTGCAACGAAGTCACGCCTCAAAACCCAAACAGAAGCTTGGAGCAAGAGCTGCGCGTCCGTCAAGGACCTCTGAAGTCCCAGTCATCTCCAGTCCCAGGAGCCCCGCCTAGTGACTTTCACCATCAGCTCGCTGGCGAAGGAACTGGAAGTCTCCAGGATCTTCCAGTTGTTGGGACCTCAGACGGCCGACGGTCCACCGCATGCGGATGTGTCATGGACCAACCTATTTGGGCTAGAGGCTTAATTAGCTTCTTCAGGTTGGTTGCGGACCTACTGGAGGTGATGGTAGTTCAGGTGATTTATAGGTTTCAATAGAGCGGCAAGCCAAGTAGCAGATGCATCTGACTGACTAGCCCCGATCTCGTAAATTTCCTGATGAAGTGCCAGTAACTGAACTGTTGAGACTTCAATTGAGCTTATTTATGTGTTTGATTTGATCGTTCTTGGCCTCCAAGTTCCGTTTCAGGCCCCAGAGCCCCAGAGGCCTGAGGAGCTTGGAATAGAGCCCCACATTGTTAGGGAGTATGATCAGTGTGACCATGCACAGTGTCCGAGTAGATGGCACAAACATGCCGGTCTTCGGCGGCAAAGCAACCCAGCTTTGGATGGAATCCGGACCCAGCCTGGGTTGCCTGGGTTGCACGACCTCTGACTCTAAGGCTGGAAGATTTGAGGCATGTTCGAGGTGACTTGGCCTGTACGAAAGGATCAGAACCAGTGAGAAGAGAAAGAGAGAGGGAGAGAGAGAGAGAGAGGGAGGGAGGCAGGGAGAGCGTGCGGCGCAGCAGACACGGAAACGGCCCCTTGGTAGAGGAACACAGTTTGCTACCACCATAGCCACTAGGGGCCATGTATTGCTATGTATTGTCCTGTGAGGGTCACTTAGTGTAGGGGAGCATACATGAGCAAGAAAGGAAAACAGAAAATGATCAAGATGAGTAGCCGAAAGCTAGATGCCAGGTGGGAGCTGCTGGGACACTGATTATGTTCAAGTGTACGTTGGTTGATGTACAAATAATTGCACCCAGTATAATGCTTGGCCAGTTTGAGATTATCAATGTGCAAATTGGTGAGGTGAGGTGAACCGATTCCACCTCAATGCTGCCATGATGGTGCTTTGGCAGCAGATTGAGTTCTGGATATTTGGCAGATGTATACAAGGCATATCAAGACATCAAGACAGACATGGGGGCACGTCGCAGACACCTTTACCTTCCTGTGTAGAATGGGCACATTGATGAACAATGGCAAACCCACGGCGTAAGTTCACTCAGCACATCTCATCTACCAGGTCTCGCCCGGCCCTCAAGGAGACAACTCTCACAGAGACAAACTAGCGAAGGAATCTTAATATAAACGAGTGAATAGAGGTTGTTCCTTTGTTGCCCTTTTTTTCTATCTTGCCTCTCGTTCGCTTCAGAGGCCAAGATACTGTACGTCCCGTGCCGGGGCCTCCCCTTGGACTCTCGACTCAACGTCCCGACTCCGACTGCTCCCAGGCAGCTTCCTCCTCAGCTCAGTGGAGACAAGCTTTGGGGACATTGCGGGCACTGCATCAATTCAGGCTTTGAGATGGATGGTGGATTTGTTTGCGGTGGATCTGGGCGAACAAACATGTCATAGAATTCTGATCGCCATTTTTCTTGTAGGTTTACCTTGTACTTCGGCTTTTGACGGCAGTGGGGATGCATCGGGCGGTGAGAAGATCAGCAGGGCATTTGACTGGCCAAGCCATGGCACCAAAGTCTTTGTTAAGCCAAACGGCCGATCGCAAAGGGGACTTCTCAAAGTCTGTTAAATCATTATCTTGACATTGTTACTGCAAATGGCAGCAGCAAAATCCCAAAAGGATGCAAAAGGTAGAAGTGCAGCCAGTTGATGATCACTTGCGACTGAATCATGCGTTGACAGTCAACATCTGTTGCGGCACCACATCTAATCAAGTTGAATAGATGTGGTGCTGAATGCGACAGGGTACAGGTATACATACAAGTATACAGTCGACACGGTCTAACCCCTTGCTTCTTTCCCCCAATGCTAGCTCATTGCCGGACTGGAACACCTCTACTGTCGGTGCCATGCTCGGAGGGAGACGCCCGACGAGCGGAGCTATAGCGCTGCCATGGCTGCCTGTTCGGCAGAAAGGCAGGAAAGATCCGCCATAACAACGAACGGACACAACATAGAGGCATCATATAGTATGGCAATGTATGGCAGTACTCTATATTTTATATAACTTCTCTAATGCCTGGATCTGCTGACCATCAGGGATTTGTGATGTCTACATGGACTTTGCATATCCATTGTTTCGTAGTGGTAACTATTTTAGCCTCGCCGCGAGTGTTTACGTAGTTCTACAATGATAATGTTACTGCATATGTTTGAGACCTGCATGAATACCGCAAGGGCAGCCCATCACCAAGCTGTGCTCAAACAACAATGACAATGATCAAATATTGTTCCACACCTATATAGTTTGAATGGTCTTCCACCATCACCATCACCCCATCTCACCCGCCTTCACCTCCATCCAGGTGGCCAGGCGCGTTGGCTGCCTGGAGCTCAAGTCGAGACGACTTGTCGGACCAGGATGTGGTCTTGCTGGGTGTGGCAATGACGTCCTGCAGCGGAGCTTAGAATTGGCATGGCGGTGTGCCGTGGGGTTAGTTTGCGCAGTCCGTGGTCACTCTTGATGTCTTGGGCCGGCCAGGGAGTAGGAATTGGACTTGGTATGGCTGAACAACGGCATTGGCATCAGGTGTTTTATGAGTCCTTTAGGATGGTGATGAAATGACAAAGAAGGCTCGGATGTCCAGGGTGAGGTTGAATAGTGTTTGCCTAGCCCGAAGAGTGGATACCGGATATAATACAATATAGTAATATATATATATATATGTGTGTGTGTGCGTGCGTTTGTGTGCACATTCTGTAAAAGCTGGGCGTTTCTAGTGGCAGACGGCAAACATGTCCAAGCATAAGAATATATATATAAATCTATAAGTTATTTATATATTGACACTTCTTTCAGGATCATGTCATCACCTCCCATCCCTCTCCCTGGCTGGAGCGCATAAGTGAGCAACGAAGTGTCATGATCCTTCACTTGCATGAATCTACACGCCTGCAATGTTGGAGTAGTACAATCTGTCTATTGTACGGAATGTGTTGCGCAAGTTAATTCCAAACCCTGTCATTGTTTAATCAATGGTCCAACGGTGTTGTTTTCCAGAAGTGCTTGGTTGTTTATACAACTACTTCAGAACTCTTGGCTACCTAAGATCACTGATGTTCCTATTGGTTGGCCATTAGCTCCTCCTTCAGTTGTTCATATCCCTCATTGTAAAAGTATTTAACTGCTCATTGAAAAGGTATACCGTATACCACCCACCATATATCATTTGCAGGCATTTGCAGATACATTGCGCACCACACCAGAGATCAGGTAGCCTCGCAGAACCACAGAATGTAAGTTACAATAGCATGGAAGCCACACCGTTGAAGCCACTCCGCCTGAGGTGGGGCGAATCGCTGGGTACACTGTTTGCAGATGCTGGAGAATTTGAGCGACTGCCAGGCAACAACAGAAGATCAATGTGAAGAAATCCCACGCGGATCCGAACGGTGGTGGACTGCTGAACCTTATGGATACCGGATACCCCTCTACTGTAAAGTGGTCTGCGGGTTACAGAGCCCCCTTCAGATGGTTGAACTGCGCTTGTGGCACTCGTCAATTGGTTTTTGACGGCTTAGCTTCCACCTGTTTTGAAAATTTACAGTTGTTTGGATTCAATCCTCATTGGTTGTAAAATTGGAGGCTTTGACCACAATCGACGGTAAGAGTGGCAAATGACCATGGTGCATGGATGCAAATGATGGGTTTGCTGATGTTTGCTGGCCCTCAGGCAGGTGGCAAATCGTTCAATTTTAGGTAGGGCCCCTCTTGGTAGGCGCATGATCTATCCATGCTGGAACTGTGGAATGCTTTCCTTTCCACATGTTTCATAATTTTTCAATATTTGTTCCATACATTTCATTGTATAGTACCCAAGCACCACGGGCTCCATCCAGCAATGTTCTTGTGCGCGAGGTGTTGGCTCACACACACTGAGTTAGTCTAACTATAGTAATGATATCTAATGATAGACCCGAGTGCGGTTCCGGGCCTGGGGCACAAACCTAAGAGAACTTGAAGTAAGCTAAGCAGATCTAAACAGGTGAACCAGAACATGAAACGGGCAACCAGCCACTTCAAATCAGACCCATATGCCTTGGCCACTTGTGCATGACCCCATTTCATTGGAAGTCCACGTTCATGAAGGCTTCAAGTTTCAAGAGGTCAGTTGAAGAAGTCCGATGGCGCGAGGTGCAGCTGAACGTGGTGGTTTTTAGCACTTTGATCTCCTTTCTAAGAAGCTGGACTGCGGCGTTCCCTGGCACTGCGGCGTTCCTTTCTGGATGGCACACACAGAATAGGGTACAACTCACGCATGCACCAGTGGCAGAGGCACCTCCTAATTGACTGGTCCGCGGTGCCCGCAGGCCTCAGAAAGAATTTATATCTTGATTTGTCACTGCCATTGGATGTTTCGGCACAAGAGTCCGGTGTGTTTGCTTGGTTGATGGGTAGCTTGTGCCATCGGAGGGTGTGCCCCTGTGCATTTGAATTAATGAACCAAGCTCGCACCAACTTGTCACTCAGGCCTGTTCGTTTTCTGAAGTGTTATTCTGAAGGGCTGGTTATGACCACACCTTTGTATTGTTATGTTCATAAATGCACACCTCATTCCACACCTAATGACCTGCTCAGTGAGGAATTGGTCAAATATGGTCACAGCCTCCAACCACCTTTCTTAGCACAGATCGCTTGGACGCACTTGGGGGCTCCTGCTTGGATTCCCATTCTCGTTCTTCAGCAGGCTCGATGCCATGCCTCGATGCCACTAGGTCTTTGAGTTTGAGCCGGATGAGACAATTGTGGATTGAACCCAATGCCTCTTGGCCGACACACGATGCGATCAACGCACACCGCAAGGGCATCACAAATTTGCATCGTGAAGCCCATGTTTGCTATGCTGGAACGCTATTAGCAAAAGCACTGTTTATGTGCTGCGGTGTGGAAATTCACATTAGCGCACCACGACTAATGTAGCACATTGCTTTGTGCTTGTCCTCCAATGATCCAGATTGGTCAATACCAGCATCCAACCTTATCAAACATATATACCCTTGGCTTCTCAGGTCGTGACGTATACTGCAGCCATGGCTTGTGGACAGTGGCAACTTCCATTGAAGATCTGTCGCCGAGCCGCATAGGGATGCGCTCCGCGCCGTCTTACACACCCGGCTCATATCCCAACAGAAATCCCAACAGCATCCAACAACTATGTATTTGTTGCGCTCCCAAGTAACGCTACGATTCGCCAGTTGGGAATTGAACCTTGCAGGACATACTGCAGGACATAAAGGATTTTGGTTGCCCCTTTCTGATGTTCTACTGACTTCTTCTTTATTGCTGCCATTGATTGTGAGGCAAGATGAACACAGTGACCTCCAATGCCAAGCTCAATTGCCTTGTGTCGACTTCAGGACATTGGGATCAAGTCTCTTGTATGCTGAGTTGAGGTCTCGCTGTGAACGGGACCGAGTGGAATCAGTGGCCAGTTTTCACTGGGACAGGTTCCTAGGGGTGCAGGGAGCTTTGGCAGCTGCTTTTTCTTGATCTTCTCAAGCTTCGCTTCAGGGTTGTTCATCCAGTTCGTCCAGAGTAAAGAGTAAAGAGATGCCCCGTCGACCAAAGAAACCAGCATGCTGAGGCTGTTGAGACACTACTGCAAATGAGGCTGGCGCGGATGGGAGTGACTTGACGCTTGGATTCTTGAATATTTTGCATGGATGCAGGGGAGCTGAGGTCACCAGGCAAAAGGCGCCCAAGATTGATGACGAAGCGAAGTCGAACGAAATTGAATCAGATGTTCAATGGTTTTCATATACATCTATATTGTTATATATTTTGTCTAGACATATGTACATTTGTCATATATCGCCACAGATGTTTGAGAACACAGGTCATTGTCTCAGCTATGATTCCAAATCTCCTCCAGCCACTTCAGCCTCCCTCACAGCACCATCCCTGATTGTGTTCAGCGCATTCATGCGATATGAAGTGTGGAACTTTCATCAACACCGGTGGATGAGGTGTGAGCTTCAACTCCGTCATGAATGCACAGGCTCGTGACATCCGGCTTGGGAATTGGGCGGTTTTCCCACAGAAGTCTTTGTCAAGGTCCGATTTAAAAGCAACTAAGCAGTCAACAACACGTTTGTGTGCTTATTCCCGCAGGCAGTGCTGAGGCATGTGCAGGAACTCCTGAATCGTAAAGATGACTGCATCGACGCATGAGCCTTTGTTGAGGTCTTTTGGCCAGATGCCTTGGGCTTCGTGCAGGCAATGCGAAACCTCTCCTTACGCCAGAATTCATTCAGTTCCTTAGCTTTGCATTGTTTTGGCAAGCACTGGACCGTGGTGAATGACAGGGGCTCTAGCAGATAGGTTGTCAGGATCCCCTGAACATGAAGACGGATGTGATGATGTGCTGCCATTACATATACCATACGCAACAGCGCAAAGATTGAGAACCAAAGAGTCTTTTGGAGAACTTAAGTCACAAGCTTCTATTCTACTCATGATCACAGAAGGTCAGGAGGCACATATGGAGGTGGCATGATGCACCATGGAAGGGGCATTATACATAACGATACATAATTACCGTTGTATACAGTATACATATATCATATATCATACAGTCACATAATATAAGTTATACACAAAAAAAGAAAACATGTATACTACTTACACGCACAGAGACAGACCTCTTACACACCACGATGCACCTTAGAAGTGGCCTCCCGGGGCCCGTCGAAGGTCTCTCTCGTCGGCCTTGGGCTAGCCTTGGGCTCAGAGGGGAAAGGTGATGATGGGTGATGAAGCTGGGGAGGATGGAAACACGGTAATCAGCGGGTCAACAACATGCAGCCACTCTGAGCAGTCAACCACTTAGCTACTCAAATAGCTTTCAGAAGGGAGGCCATACAAGCATTCTTGGATTTGATGGCCACGGCGCGCTTCTTGGCCACTTGCGTGTGCCTCAACTTTGCATGGGCAGCAGACCAGAATGAGAACTGCGCTACCTGGGCAGCTGCTGGGGAATGTACTCGGAATGCCGCCTACATGCTGAAGGCAAGGTGAACCCTACAACTTGTATTGACTGCTTGGCAAGATTAGGGACCATTGACATGGGGTGAGTGTTTGATGTGCTGAGAAGCTGTCGCAGGTGGCTGAAAGCTGAGAAGCTTGTGTGACCCATGTCCGTAGATAATTTGTAGATATATGATATGGGTGACACGAGGATTATGAATGCATCTATATAGTAGTGCATCCTGATGAGTCATTTAGCCTATCTCCTTGACATGCTCAATTCATCGTGCCGGATGTCTTCCAAGGCTTGTTCTGCGAGCTGCTCGTCAAGCAAGGATGCATCGAAATGCCGTGAATGGGCTGCTGCGGGCCAGTGTGGGAAAAACGCAGCTTTCATGATGAAAGAATGTGCAAGCTTTTGCCCCTCCCAGCGGGGAGAGATGGAGGAGTGTGAGCAGTGGGCACGTATGGGGGAGTGTGATCAGAACCCTGACTTCATGCTTCAGAAGTGTGCCTCAACATGCGGCTCGCTCCTGAAGCAGGCGGGGTGACCCCTGCAAGGTGGACCATCAACGAAGGGCACTGAGGTTGACACTGCTGAGATGCATGTTCGGATCTCGTAGCACAGGCACAAAATGGGGTTGTGCACATGGGACACTATCTCAGGCTTACTGTAGTAACATAGTGGCCACAAGAAACGGTTCGTCAAGCCATGTTGGCCAATATTTGCACCTGACCATTGTTCAGATGCAACTTGTACACTTATGCAATCTTATGCAACATGTTAAACACTGCTTCATGTACAGCTTGCCCTTCAACGACCCTAATCTACACAAGCGCAAACTGCCGCTTGAACATTCAGTTTGTCGCTTTGCCTAAACTTCGGCCTACCCTTGCCGACTACTGTTTGGCGCTGAGTGTCAGGGGTCGAAGAAGGCTGACGCCACTCAGGGTGCAGAGAAGGCGGAGGCCCTGCTCCAAAAAGCTCGAAAGGAGATGGAGGACAGACGTGACGGACGTCGAAGCTTCCCAGACGTCAACCTGAGCCGCAGCGCTATTACTGGGTTTGTTTCCTGCTTTGGGGATTCAGGTGGGGGGCGTTAAACACCTTTGCTCCTTCGGAGGTGGCCTAGAAGAGCTACAATGATTGGACTGGACTGTTGGTGAAGGAAGAGACTCGAGAACGGTGCGCAGCCTTCCACCATTCTGACGGTTCCATTTGGACCCTGTCAATTCCGACGGCAAGGCAACCATCCGACGTAAGGTGACCAGGCAGGGTGAGTGGTGCGCCCCCTTCACAACCAAGTTATATACGAGTAAGAACCGGCACTGAGGCACCCGCTATTCAGCCAGGTGCCTAGCCATAAGCCATTCGTTTTCGCATCAAAACAAGCTATCTACAGACCTGTACCACGCTCCATGGAAAATCTGAATCTACAGCGCCAAGACTCTCACATGTCCCAGCCCCAAAGACCCGAGACGAGACTGCCAGTCTGCCAGTTCGTAACTCACAGGTTGACATCGGTTTGTCCCACGACGTGGACAGGAGCTGCAGAAGCGCCTATCGGAAAAGAACAAAGTTGCACTTCAGGAAGCCGAGCGCCAGCAGCTTGGTCGGATTAGACTCGTGGTGTCAATTGCTTGAAATTGCTTGCTAGATGCACAGGACACCAGGATTGGGGACAATTATAACGTGTGATGACCGACATTTTTGCGTAGATGATGCATGCAGAAGTGTGTTGCTGAAAGAGGTGGTCCCCTAAGGCACGAGGAGCGGCTGAGGAAACTGGACTTTGCCAAGACGGTGGCAGAGCAGAGGGAGCTACAGCTACAACAGGCAAGCAAGCTCCATGGATTCATATGGGCTCATATGGGCTCCATGGCACGCCTATATAATATATCAGTGAAACCAAGTAGGAAGTCTCTCTCCTGAGCTCGGGGCGATCTCTATGTCTATCACTTTTCCATTCGGCCAAGACCCAGCTGCTCCAAGCAGTTGTAGGCAATTGACATCCAGCGATCCAGGTTAGAACCAGCAGTTTGGTTGTTTACCTTCAAGTTGGAGAAATGTTGAATCTCGCAAATTGCAATTGAACAGCTACAGTAAAGCATGTCATGTCTAAAATTGTGTCCAAGATACCTTAAGCAGGAAAAACATGTCGGAGTCCAAGCTGGCCCAGCTGGGCCTTGATAAGACCTGTCATCAGATGCTTACAGGTCTCCTTTAAACTCATCATTCTCCCAAGGCCACTAGTTTGCCCCAAATCAGCCAACGCTTTTCGCAGGCATTGGAGGCCTCTAAGGCGCGTGTCGCCATCTTAGAGGAGCAGCTCGCAGGCTTGAAGCGAGCCGAAGCGGACGCACCGCGCTGCCCGGTGCCTAGCACTGGGGCGCCCGGCACCACGAGGAAGAGCCTGGCAGCGGTTTATGGGGAGCCCAGGCGGGGTGAACGGCAGTCGGAGGTGGCGAAGTGTGTAAGTCATGTCGCGGTTGCATAAACTGAGTGGCACGCTGAGTCATCAGTTCCAGATTTGCTTGCATGCACCCGGGGATCCCACATAAAGAATCCAGACAATCAGACGGAGCAGCTGCTGCCGGCTAGGTATCCGCTGGTGGTGCCGGAGGAAAATGAGACACCTTGGATGTGTGCAGTAGAATGTTGTCAAGGGCTGGCCAGGCGTACAGGAGGCCGTAGAGAGAGTTAAAGTACATAATACAGATACAATTATGGTCAAAGCCTAAAGGAATGCTGGAATATCTTCCGGTGAGTGGCACATGACACGTTTGTACTGTGCAGGCATGCAAAGTGGAAGCCCCCTTTGCAGTGGTGAGTAGGTCCTTTCGTCTGGAATGAGTGCGAAGTCCTTCTTTCGGTGATGTTTTGATTAGCCGGGTGCAGCTAAGGACCGCCTGCGAGAAGGCACTACAGAGCCTTTGTGCTGGGAACTTGGATGGACAACAACCACCCTTAAGCCAAGTGCTGCAGGCGTGTCAGCACAGCGAGGACGTAACCCAACTGAAGCAAGAGCTCGCCTCCAAGCCTGCGGAGCTTGCGGAGCCTTGTCCAAGCCAACCAGAGACTCAGTTTTGGCCAAGCATAATTTTTGTTGAACAGCTGTGGACTGTGGTGCCCCTTCCTTTTTCTTCGGAGAAAGAACAGGTGGGCACTTGAGACCCGTGAGCGAGCCAAGTGAGGAGAGATCTGGCGGGAAGAAGTTGGATGAGGATGATGAGCTCCTCATTTTCTTTTCTGGTGCAGTACGTTGCGAGGGGAACTGTTCCTCAGGACTCATGCTATCATCTCTGAGGGCGACCTTGCAGCAATCCTTCCAGCTTTTGCTCGATGCTCGGAGGGAATACGTTGAGCGAACTGCTGGTTTCTTGGGCTTGCTTCATTGATGAAGCACAAAACGAACAGGTGGCAGAAAAACAAGGCAGCATGTGTGAAGGGCTTTGGTGCCCTCTCCGACCTGCAATCAAGATTCATTTGTTATATGATTCGCTAAGTACGCGAGTAGCTGCATTTGTGCAGCATGCAAAGACCGCTCCCATTTGATGAGTTAGACATAGATCCGAGAGCATGCACCTATATACCGTATAACAATATACCCAGGTTTACGTCATGGATGACCGATCCCTTGATATGGGCATCAATTCGAAGAATATGTTCCTAGATTTGCCCGTGTCACATCTGCATAATACATTCCTGTAGGTTAGTCAGCTACGACTGATTGATTGCACTATTCTTCCCGTGCTCGACCATACTGCACATCAATCCGATCCCTTTCCTACCTACTTGTCAGACATGTTTGGCCGTATTGACTATTGATTTGACTGCATCTTTATACTTGACCTTTCAAGCCCATGCGAAACAGCACCTTCTTGGAAGGTATTATGGTTGTGTTTTTATGTCATTCACCCGAGGATGGGTTTCTTCTGGCGCTGAACACCGCTCTTGGTGCAGACCCCGAAAAGGGCCGTGCTGCAGCCGCGCGGGCAGCGCAAATCGGGCGACGGCTTCGGCAACGGCTAGGTGAGCTCATGGAAGCCAAGGGGGCGGACTTGGAGAAAGTCTTGGAGATGATACTTGGAGATAAATCACGATGCACATCAATGCACATCTGGAAACATAATCCAGGAGGAGTTGACACGAGGGTGGCTAAGATCACCCTTGCAGTTGAACTATATAGTCTTTTTTGTGCAAGTTCCCGTTTGTTGCCCCGTGGAGGTTGCAGTCCTTTCATGGAAGACTAACTTCTCGAAGCCCGTCGACCTACTGCACCAGTATCTTCAAGAAACCCTCATGCTTTACCATAGCCCCCTATCATCACAGAAATGCCACAGCTTCGTATAGCTTATAGTTATATATGTGCCAATGCGTGTCTAACATGGCATAGGCCTGAACCTTCCCATTCCTCCTAACCCAGTATAAACATATATAAATCACTATATAAATTTAACTAGATTTACATTCATAACATTCACTATATAAATTTACATTCATAACATTCACTATAAACAAGTGCATATATATATATATACACATAATGAATCAAGATCCGTTCCGTATTTTATTTGTTGTTCCCCTCAGTCTCCGGACCCCCAAGGAGTCCACACGCCTCCGAGCTCCTCCAGCGCTTTTCGCACCACGCGGCCACGAAGACCGAGCATGCCGCGGCCACGGCGGGAAGGGCTGCGGAACGGCTCATGGCGCTGCTGCCGGCGGAGCACCGGAGGATCTGGCCCAGCGATTCACAGTGGCAGGAGAAACTTCCTGGCTTTGGGAGGCAGAAGCGGGGTTGTAGCCTATCAGCCAATCATGAGGTTTTCAACCCCAGGGTTCTTGAAGCGTCTTGGCTGTGTTGTAGTGCAGAATTGCTGTGGCCACTTCGTGGGTGAGATGCGGAGGCTCGAGTTCCAGTAGTCGGAACTACTCAGGTGACCACGATCGTTGCATTTTTCAGATCCAAACTATCCGACACGACCCATACATAACGAAGACCCATATATGGTGTTTGCTCAATTGTTTTTGTTGCTTCCAGGAGCTGTCTTTGGTCTTCGTTTGGCTTCTCCTTTTGCTCTTCGTCTCCGTGCGGATCTTGAGCCTCACGACCAAGCTGGCCATCAAGCTCTTTGTGGTGCTGCCCCGGCAGCTCCTCACCGCCAGCTGCCGATGCTGTTTGCGGTGCTTGTGTCCATGTGAGCGGAAGAAAGCGCGTAAGAGCGAAAAAGGATGAAAAAGGGTTTGACCCCATTGGCCAGGCGGTGGTTGATGTGTAACGATGTGTATATGGGAGTCCTCTTTGTCTAATATCCCGTCAAAGATTAGATGCCGTTTGGAAAGGGATCTTCATGCAGGCAATACTTGACCTCTCCTGATAAGTACAAAGCCTTATACAAGTAGGTAGGAACTTGTGGTATCATTGATGGTTTCAAGCAACAGCCAAAGAAATTCTACTAGCAGCCCGTTTGCTGAGAGTTAATGGCCCGGGACTGCAGTGTTGCTGCGGGTCTGGCTTAGATGCCATTTTTCACCAACAGCTGTCCCACCAACAGCTGTCCACAGGGCCACCAACCATGATTGAAATGAGGGTGCCAAAATAGAGGTCCAAAGATTTGTAGTTGTAAGATGCTGCTCTTTTGCCGAGGTGCCTGTTCAGCCATCAACTCCTTTGCAAAAAAGCAGTTGCAGCAGGAGTTTCACAACCTGACATTTTCGGGTACCTCATGGTACCTCCTGTTTGCCGCACGGATAGACTGTATCATGTGTGTAACGCCTGCAGCTGGCGCTGGTTCTTTTCTTCGATGCTTTCCGAGACTTGAGACGTTCGCGGCGTTAGGACATGAGGTTGTGGGCCAATGATGTTGTTTACCCCCTCAACATGTTGCCAAGTGCAGGACCAGTGGCAGCTGGCGCTGGTGCAGTTGAGCCATTTGCTTGCAATGACAAGTCATGGTGAGTGCATGTGTGTGAGTGAGTGCAAATCCGACCACCTAGGGACTACTATAATATATTGTAACAGTAGTAGTTGTAACAGTTATATACTAGTTGTAGGCATAGAGTCGTATAGCATCGGACTGAGAGATAGAGTGTCAAACTCCCATCTACGTGCTTCCAGACCATATCGAGTTTCAAAAGCTGCAAAACGACACAGGCACCCCGTCTTGCACTTGATGGCATAAATGATTTAAATTGAATACAGCTGATATGAAGGTTCTAGCCAATCATGTGGAGGAAGTTCAGGTGCCTTTGAGCTGGATTTGACGGAGCTGGATGTTTTCGGCTACAATGCTGCCATCAGTGCAGCTGGATTGCAGGAAGCTACTGAGACGGCGCTGACACGGTGCCCGTGATTCATGGTGACCAATGTTCAGCATTCGGTGCCAGAAGTTGGTCGTTGGAGTTTTGATATGTTTTTTCTCATCGATCCGGATCAAACACATTGGGCTTCCGAAAGCCTTCTTGCAAGGCTTGCGAGAAGGGCCACCGCTGGTTGGCCTCCCACAGCCTCCTGACTCATTTGCAGCGTTGCAGGCGAGTCAAGTCATCTCGTGCCACGACTCGTGGAAAGTGTGCGGTCCAGGAGTCCATGCCATCCACTTCTATTTTGTGAGTGCATCTCACATGCACACACACATACACACCTTCCCAAACCAACGGTGACAGTTGCAGGTTGCCACCAGATGATGTGAGTGGGGAGCTTGGACTTGAGCACATGACAGTCTCACTTGACAAAGCTGACCGTGAAAGCGGTGGCCCTTATTGGTCCAGTGCGTGTCCCGGCCACATCTTATGTTTTTGGACTGTTTCTTGAACAGGTGACTCCTCAAAGAAGACCAGTCAGGACATTGTGAGGTGCAAATGCCATTTGGCCTTACGCCTTGCATCAAGTAAGTATTGAGTATGGCCGGAATCTGCTCTACTCAGACACCAACAACACGGTAAAATGAGGAAGATTCCTGGTTTTGTAGCCACTCTGGATCTTTGAATGATGGCCCAGATCTTGAGAAGTTCCTGACCGGCTGAAGGTTCTGGCTCATTCTTGGCCTCTTTGTCTCCTGACGCTTGGCTTCAGGCCCTGACATTGCTCAGGCGCCAAGGGTCGTCTTGCGGGCGGGGGAGGGTAAGCGACAGGCGTAGTATACAGCGCCCTCGCACGGCGCGCGCATTTTCGGCAGGTCGGGCTTTGCGACGGCAGTGGGGGTGCCCAGCAAACCTGCCCGATTCAAAAGCAACATGACACTGGCTTCACAACGAAGATGAGAATCCTTTTTACAAAGCGGGTGGGATGCTTGGAATCATGTTGTACTCCAAATGTGGATGGATATTTGCTTCAAAATGGGTAATTATCCTGTATCCTTTGAAAGTTGAGTGTGCGTCCTGAAAGGGAACGAAAGCGATCCAAGAAAAGGTCAAGTTGATATCGGCTGCGTGAAATGAAGCCCCACCGGAACGCTGCAAAGTACTGCAGTCCAATCGACAAGCGCACCACCTATATATAGCTAACCTCATGTGTCTTTCCTTTGCGCTCATTCACCCCCTTTTTTCTGCGTCAGAACAAATGAGTACATATGTATATGACTGTCTTAGGGTCTGGCAGGCTTGGGTGGACAGTTGTCATTCCATAGAGAGTTCAGAACCTGTGTCCATTTTGGCTCAAGTCTGATCCAAACTGGCAGGTTCTGTGTTTTCTTCAGGAGTGACCTGGCAGAAGACTTCATGCCAGCGAGGGTCAGGGAGGGGATTGATGTTGCCCTGTTTACGGACTTGCAGGTACTTACCCCGGCGGCATGGCTGGACTTCACGGCGCACATCGAGTCCATGTCGGCTGCTGGGAGGCGGGATTCCGCCTTGGTGCTCTGGGAGTCCGTGGTCGAGATCTTTCATGTGGGGTCACCATCTGGAGCGGTACTCCAATCCCCCACGATGCCTCCCCTTCGACGCATCCCATGCACAGAGGTCCCCTGTTCCCGGTGCGAGCGACGCCTGGGAGGGCTCCGGTTCCCCTGGGTTGGGACTTGGACGCGTCGTGCCGTTGTGGTCCAAACCGGCGCTACACCGCAGAGTGCATGGGATGCCTATCATGCCAATCCGGCCACCTTCGACCTTTTGGGGCTGCAGATGGTTCGCAGCCCGCTGGATCGAGAAGCGATCTCGCCAGCACACGTTGATCGGCTCTTCACCCGCTTGGCCTATGACAGGGATGGCATTCCCTGGAGCCATGCGGTGGCCGTTTTCAGGATTTGGCAGGCGGGACGCCGTGCCTGGCGGGAGCCAACCCGGCAGGCTTCCACCAGTGGAGACAACAGGCCATCGAGCACATTGGCTCTATCTCGAACACAGGTCCCTCCGTGAGTGGGCGATGACACCTATGGCGATTAGCCTCGGCCTTATACCGCCAGATGCCAAGGAACGGTCCCGGGTGTGTCGAGTCGTCTCAGTTGACGAGGTGATCCATGAGGGCAGCCTTCCAGCTAACCACGTCTACGTCGACCAGGGCCACCACCGACATCGGCTACCGACTACCAAATGGGCACCTCCATGCACCCCAGGTGTGAATTGCTCAACGGACGACTGGTTGGCTTTCTACGTTACCCACATTCGCGAGACACTATGGGACAATCTCTCCGAGCTGCAGCACAAGGTGCTGGTGAGTGACACCGGCGGCGGACCAATTGTGCCCGGCGACAGCGCTGGCCGGCCTCGTGCTCGACTATTTGTCACCGCAGGCCCCGGCGCATCACCACAAGGCGGGCAGTCAAGCCAAGCCAGCTAGCCTCCAATCCGCGAGGATCCTTAGAGTGGTCTCCATCTCAGGGGTCAATGCAATGTCACCTACGCAGCTCTTCCCGCAGGAGAGCGTGATCCTGGCGTTCAAACGCCTTTCCCCCTTTGAGTGGTTCGCTGGTTTTCGTTTCCCACTGGTTGAGGACCTTGTCAATGACTTCCCATTCATCAGCTATCCGACCTGGAGAGCCCAACGAGGGTTGGATTGGGGGGGGGACCTCTGGGACCGCTGGGAGGGACCCAGCATTCCCGACTCATGCAACCTAGGATGCAACGCCATGCTGAAGGCCAACAGGCAGGTGCGCTGAGTCACAAAGCAGCTCTACCACCGCTTCTTAGCTTTGGCCTGTCCGTTGACGACCACTTCACGCAGTCGCTGGCGCTTGGGCAGCAACCCTTGCCCACGGAGAGACTTCCGTTGCTCGACGGCGACCTCTGGTTTTGTGCCGAGCACCACTGGAAGCCACCAGCTGAGCTTTGTGCCTTGCGCCGACGAGCCATTGGGGCCATTAAGGAGTTGAAGCAACGGTGGAGCCCAGTGACAGCCCAGCTGCGGCGACTTCAGACCCCAGCCATTCGCCGAGTGACGGCGAGCCGCGACCTGGGCTTAACCGCCCTCTTGATCATGCTGATGTCTTGGGCTGACACCACTTACCCCTACGGGTTGATCAAGGGCATGCCAGCGGTGGGCACAGCCCCGCCCTACGGCATCTTTCCGGTCCAGCAAGGAAGAGAGATTACCCTGGCAGATGTCCTGGAGGGATGGCAGGACCACAACTCAGGCATTATCCGGCAGTTGAAGCCAGGGCCGCACGATAGCGTGTTGCTTGAACAGAGCGAAGCTGACGCTGAGCATGGTTTCTGCACGGAACCGATGACGCACGCGCAGCTCCTCCGGCACCTCAAGGGTGCCCCTCACCGGCTCATTCCAAGATGCATCATTGTCCAGTCCAGCGGCAAGAAGCGGATCATCGACAACGGGGATACAGGGGGCCAATCCGAGCGTTCCTCCGATTACAACAAGCTAACCTTATGCTCCCCATTCAGGCCGGCTCAGCACATTGCCGCTGTGGCTGCGTGCGCTTCCTCCGCTCAATGGCACTCTCGTCTGGAGTGGGACTCCTTCGAGAGCGGCGGTGAGGACTGGCCTAATGCGTATCGAGGAACACCCATCTCACATGAAGAGTCTCTTGGTTGTGCGGTAGCGTTCTGGCATGAGCAATGGCAGCAACCAGCTTTCCAGTTGTATCATTCTCTGTTGTTTGGTTTGCCGCTGGCGGTCACCAGCTTCAACAGATACAGTCGGCTGGCAGAAGCTCTGGGCCGCAGGTTGTGCCTTTGCCTCACCTCCCTCTACTTCGATGACGCGAATATCGTTGATTGGAAATCTTCGAAAGGCTCCGGCCAAGCAGCGTTCAACCAACTGAATGTCCTCATCGGCACCCCCTTCGCCGAAGAGAAACGCCAAGCCATGACGGCCAGTGGCATTTTCCTTGGTTTGCATCACGATTTACGTAGAGTCAGCGAGGGATTTGTCCGTTTTTGGCCTCGAGACAGATTGATCGCCAAAATGGAGGCGTTTCTGAACGATGCACTCAGTAGACGCTGGCCTCTGGCACGGCGTCAAAAATTTACGGCACGCTGGCCTTTTTGGAACAAGGCCTCTACGGCAGAGTAGGGCGCAGCGGCCTACAGGCCATCAAGGCAAGGCAGTACGAGACAGACCGTTGCCTGACGCCAGCATTGAAGGAAAGCTTGCAGCTGATCCAAGCTGTTCTCCAACTCCGGCCGGCTAGAGTGATGGAAGTGATCCACCCCGTGGTACCAAGGTTCATTGTGGCATCGGATGCAGCCCTTGAAGCACCTTTCGCAGGTACAGGCGGCTTCCTTATCATATGGTTCGACGGTGCTGCAGAATTGCGTGAAGCTTTTATGGATCCTTCTTGAGAAGTGATAGGTTCATCTTTTAATTTAGTAGTCCAAGAAAAGACCTTGGAAACCAGGTCTGGCACAAGTGGTCCACAAGTGTGGTGGAGAAAAAATGAGGTGAAAGGAAGTGTTTCTGTTTTGCGCAAAGGTGTGGCACAAGTGCTCAATTACCATTGGTCAAGTGCTCCAGGTCCAATGCCACAGCTCAGCCAAAAAGATTTTAACCAACCAAAGAAAAAGACCCGCCCAAACACCAAGGGAATGATTTCAAACCAAAAAAATTTCCAGGAATGAGGTCGTTATTATGCCCCACTTCCTATATCACACACAAACCTATAAACACTTGGTATGAATGAATTTTCAAGAGTCAAACATTGCATCAGCAAAGTCCCAAAGGGAAATAATCAGATGTTTTTCTTGTTAAAAGCTGAATGAAAACCACATGGTCAACAATAATCATGTTAGATTGAATAATAATATCAGAAGGTTTAAATGCTTGCTGTGTGTACTCAGACTCGCAAGTGACTTCAACTTTGGGGTTTCTTGATGCCTTTCGCTTTGTTGTGAAGAGTTGAAATCTGTAGCATTTTTGTAGAGGGTCCTGACAGCGCAGCTTGGAACCATGATGGCGGCTTTGGTTGATGTGAGCTCTGATGATGGCAAGGGCTTGGAAGGCTTGGAGCTTTGTTCGATCACCACCGCTGGGGATGATGAGATGCAATATGGCGACCAGCATTCCTTGGCCCCATCAGATTTTTCTGACCTACCATGGGAGGAGCCAATCCTGGAGCAGTGTCTGGATGAGATGCCAATGTGTGATGTGACCTCAGGTGGTGGCCACGAGGATTTGCCTGACTTGGAGGTTGTGAACACAGGGGGCACGAGGTCTGGTGGTCTGAAACGGCCATATTCTTCACATGCTTCATTGAGATCTGTGAGGCTCAAAGGTTCAGTCCGACGTTCTTTGAACGACCTTGAGACCATCATCGTGCCATACCCTTCTCCCGGTTCCTTGGCTGGGAATTGAATGTAAGCATACATTGAGCAGTATGACAATCACTTTGATATATCCTTGATAGAGATATATATATATATATAGGTCATCAAGACTTAGAATTAGTGATTTGCATTTTCCTTTTTTGGTGATCAGCAACTATAAAACCAATGGTTCCAAGTGTTCTTGCCCTCAAACCATCAGGTCATCATCAGGATCGCGCCTCAACACTGGACTGGAAGAAACGCAACGTCAGGAAGCTTCTCTCGATGTATTTCACCAACAAGAAAGCTGCGGTAAATGACCCATGGGCCATGAGGAAGGTTTGGCGTCAATCCGCCCTTGCCAAAGAACCATTGGAAGATGGAAGTTGATGCCTTGCTCTCCGACTTGGTGATCCTTCAAGGGTGCCTGAACCGTTGATACAAACCCACTGCAAAATAGGTGGGGCCATTTTCGTTTAGGGACTTCTCACCACACAGGTGCT